GCCACCCTTATCCCTTCAACAGTCGCCATCCTGATCAGTCAGCAGCCACCAACATCAAGCAAGACCTTTAACCAGTGAAAAGATTACAGCTCGCTAAAGGCTCAAATGATAGCATTTTTTAGCAATAGAGTATTTTTTGATTAAGGTATGTATATTATTTTTTTAGACATAATGCTCTTGCACACTTAATGAACTATAGTTTTGTCTAAACATGACTTATTGCACTGTGAAACAAAAACAGTGTACAAAACTTGCTTTATTGTGATACTTGCTTTATTATGGTGGTTGGAACCAAACCTACAATATCTCCAAGATATTCCTGTGTATACATGTATTTACACACATATAATATGGCATGAGTAAAACATAATAGCTATTTATATATATATATATATATATATATGTGCATATCCAGAGGAAAGATAATTTATGTTAATTTCATTAATACACATTCATTAATTTAGGAAATAAAAAGATTCTAACATGCATATTTTTTAATTTTATGGAATAATCTGTATTATAAGTAATGAGCTTTAAATGTACACATAATTTGATATTAATAATTAGATGCTAATAATGTAAAAGTATCCAAAGCATCTGCAGGTGTTTTGTTAAATTTAAGAGTTAAACAAATTTAGGAATATGTCTTTGTCTCTAGGATGGAGAACCAAGTGATCTTTAATACTTACTATACTTAACCTCTTTAATGTTACTTCTTAAAACTTCATTTCTTGTCCATTGCCTTTTCATACCCAGATCTCAAGACTGGAGTATAAAAGGTTTCCCAACTCCTGTCTTCAATCTCTTCTCTCTCTACTTTATTCTACCATCTGTTATTTAAATTGTTTTTTCTCTACATTCCTTTAGCATGTCATACTCCTTCTTTGATGCATTTCAGCCTACCTAAAAGATCTTTCCTCCCCTTCACCTGCAAATTTTCAAGGCCAAGCTCACTATTATTTTCATCTTTAGCTATTCTCTTAAGATTGAAGTCTGGATTACTTCTCCCTTACCTCCTGTAGCGCCTACTGATAATCGTCAATACTACTCAAATAAGCACTTAATTAGAAAAGACAGAAATGTAGTAAATGCAGACTAAGTTTTGTTTTGTCTCACATAGCACCCAGCAGAATTCTGTTCATGATAAATGTTAAAGTGCTTATTAACTGGTTCATTTACAACAGTGAAAATAAATAATATAAAATGGATTTTCACTGTGAAGACTACCACAGCCTCTACAATTTTGCTTTTGTTAATTTTAAGATTATGTATTCTAAGTTAGGAATACAAATGAATTATGTAGTTTTAAGCATTTAAATTGTCAATTCTAATGTTCATACTATAGTAGTATTTGCAATTTTAACTAGTTTGCATGAATTTAGCTTTTAAATATTTAAACGTCCTTTTATAAAATTGGATAACATTTTGAAGATTAAATACTAAAAATATGAAATGATAAAGCACTATCATGTAATATCAGTTGTCCCTTCTCTCTCCTGTATCATAGGTTTTTGTCTCTATTTTCTGAATCTTACTCATTAGCATACAAGCACGGTGTAATTTTTTCCACATATATACTTTCTTATAAAGTTTCCTTTATCACACAAGTTTCACTAGCTACTGTAAAACACCTCAGTGTAATTTTCTGTTCTAGCACTTCTCAAACTCTAATATGCATACAAATAATCTAGGACTCTTGTTAAAACTTAAATTCTGATTCAGATGCTATGTTTCATACTTTAATAAATTAGCCCAAAACTTGTTGTGGCTTAAAACAACAAACACGTACTTGGACACAGCCATGCTGGGTACCTACCTCTGGCTCAGGATCTTTGCCACTGCCGTCAAGGTATTGGCCTTGAATGCAGTCATCTCTAGGCTTGACCTGGGGAGAATTTGTTCCAAACTCTTGTCATTAACTGTTGGCATGTCTCATTTCTTTGCTTGCTATTGGCCAAAAATATCTGTCCTTTGCTATGTGAGTCTTTCTATAGAGCAGATCACAACCTAGCTCCTTGCTTCAACAGAGAGGATAAGGGCGAGCAAGACAGCCAAAATACTTTTGTAACTTAATCTCAAAAGTAAAATCTTATTATGTTAGCCATATTCTGTGCATTAGAAGGCAATTACCAGATTCAGGCCACACTAAAAGAGAGGGGATTACATAGGGTATAAATACCAGGGAGTGGGAGTCATTGGAGCTTCTATCTTAGGGGCTGCCTGCACAGTAGCTTTAGGGTGGGTTCTAAAAATGTGCATTTCTAAGAAACTCATAGGTGATGCCAATGCTCCTCATCTACAATATTGCATTGAAAAGCAAGGGTCTACACTTCCTGCCTCCAGTTCTTTTCTTTGATCATCCTCTGTTGATCACTCTTTCTGATTAGGCTTTCTCACCCTCCACTCCACTGAAACCATCATTGTTGCAGTTACTAGTGACCTCCACATTATTAAATCGAGCACTCAAAAAAAATAAATAAATAATAACAGTCACTGTCTGAAAGTCTTTCTTTACTTGGCTTCTGCAATACCAAATTTACATTTCTTCTCAGTCTTTTCTGCTAGTTACCTATCTCCCTGACTATAAATGTTAGTACACCCCACAGTCCAGTTTTTTTGGAGCTCTTTTTTTTTTTGTCTACGGTTAACTCCTAACTGGTCTCATCAAAGTTGACAGCTTAAATTCCAGATACATGCTAACCACTCTCAAGTATGTATCTTCTATGAGGACTTTTCCTCTAAAATTTTAATGTGTTTATCATGTCTCTAATAAATTCCTCAACTTTGGATATCTAATCGTAATTTCAAACTGAAAATATCTAAAACAGAACTCTTTGTTCCTTTCCCCAACACCACCCTTTAGGCCCCGCCTGGCAGTCTGGCTTTTAGCCTGTGTTTACAAACCAGTCCATACTACCACTCCTCAGACAGTTTAGTGAAAAACTTGGAAGTCATCCTTGAGCCTTCTCTTACTCTCATTAGTAACAGTCATTAAGTTTTACCGGATGTAACATTTAAATATCACTTGAGTCTCTGCCTTATTCTCCATCCCCATGTCACCACCCTAGTCCAGACCATTATTACCTTTTATACAGATTTCTGCATCTGTTTACTAGTTGATTACAACTCTCAACCTCCAACTTAAGTGATTTTACACAACTCATCTGTTTTCCATTTTCATGACTTCCTTTATCCTATGGGATAAAGTTTAGATTATTTAATATTTACAAAAAGCATACATAATCTGGCATCTGACTCCCTCCCCAACCCCATATATCTCACTTCCCTACCTCCTCTCTACACTTAAGCTGTACAGTGACCGACTGGGCTATGACTAAGACTTCCATTTGATTATTCATGAAAATTGTTTCCCTGCCTGAAACACTCTTTCTTCCCTTCTTTGTCTAGCTAACTATAATTCAATTCAAGCTTCAGCTTAAACATGACTTTTTCCTGGAGGCTATGTTTGAGCTATCAGACTAGGTTTGGGACACCCACAGTGTAGTACATATCATTATGTTCTTCCTGTCTTAACTGTCATTATATTTTATACTAATCATTTAATTATCTTTTTCTCCTATTGAACTCTAAGTTATTGGAAGGCCAGATCCACAGAAGTAGATCCACAGAAGTAGACGCCTAAAAAATAAGCTGGGAGGCTGTCTTTAGAATAAAAGTGCAAAAAATTTTATATGCCCAGATGCACACACAAACAAATACACACGCTGGGGTATAAAAGTGAATATTCATTTATAACAGGAAATCACATCAAATTAAGAAAACTGGTAAATATAAAAATATATGACAAACATAAAAATCTAGTGAACATACTGCAAGAGACCATTTTCAAAAGCCCTAAGTTTAAGCTTCATTAAAGTCCCAGTAAATTCACATCTGCATATTAATCTTTTCCAAAGCTTTATTTCTAGTGCCAAGAGGAGTGCTTAATGCATAGCAGGTACTCAATAAATGTTTTGGAATGAGTATATTAACTGAGTTATTTTAAGTTATATTTTTCATGCATGCAAGATTCAACAAGATTTTTATAAATCAGATTTCTACAAAATGTTTTATGTATTACAAAATTGTTCTTACCTCTATTATTTTCAGTTATTTGCTATAGTCATGTGTCAGTTGATAAATAATGTACATTGTTAGTTATATTTTTCAGCAAATCATTGGACCCTGTGCAACAGGTCTATTGTACCTCTTTGCTAATTAAGAAAAGCCTCTTGATTTGCATCAAAAATAAGCAGAATAATCTTCTCTATGTGCTTGTCTGTATGTTTGCATGTGTTCCTATATTTTTATAGGTCATATAACAATAAAACTTCAGGATTAATTTTGAATTACTATGTTTTTTAATAGATAAAAAACTTTTGGGGGAAGCGATTTATTTTCCACTTTCATTATGATATAGTTTTGTAATCATTTATTCCTGGATGATAAAGATGCCAATATGTCATATAACTTGAAAAACACATAAACTATTTTCTTTATTGTTAATTTGTCTATAAGATATTATTTAAGAGATTATTTGAATCAAGACAGTAACATAGCATTTAAAAGATAAGCTACTTTGTTTAAATCTTTGGAGTTTAATTGGTTAAAAGTAGGTTAAGTTCCTTTGATCACAATACTGTAAATTCACTGAGGAGTTACTGTGCTCATATGAAAATTGTGCGTGTCTGTGTGTGCAAGCGCATGTGTGTTATAAAGTGCAGCCCTCTGATCAATGCTCACTTTCCCTCCCATTTTCCTAAATACATCATGAAAAAAGGATGAGGTTTCCGCCTTAATTGCTTGTGCCTTTTATTCACATTCCTCTCTCAGCCAGAATTGTGAAAAGAGTGTTAGTAAAAGGCTGCACAATAGAGCTTTTCATTAGGCCTCAGCAAGGCACACAAAAGAAGGCTTTTGGAAAGAGTGAATGCATGAGTTTAATTTGCAGGTGGAGAGTAGATAAAAGGTGCTGACGCCTCTATTATTCTCTTACTTAGGTGACCCTTACCCTGTTCAGCTGATCCCAACTACCATGGCAGCTGCTGCCGCAGCAACACCAGGCTTAGGCCCACTCCAACTGCAGGTAAGTCAGGAAACAATACAAAGGAGACAAAGGTTAAGTAAATATCGAAAACAGCAATTATGGTGTTAAAGCAAAATAAAACGGACTCGCGCTATTTGTCTCACACTTTCTGTTTTTAAATTTATTTGTACTGATTCTCAACCAAAAGTTGAGATAATTGATTTTCTTAATTTTTAGCCCCGTTTTCTGCACTAAACATAGCTTAGATCGTATTTCTTTTATTGCCAGTATGATTAAGAAAGTGAGCTGTAGTTTTGCTTTGATTACTGTGTGCCATAATTTTGTCACGGAATAGTCCTTATCAAGGTAAAAAGAACAAACAACAAAACAAAAACCCTGCAAAAGATATTCAGGCACTGGAGGAGCAAGGCAACTTAACAAAAATGCATTTAAAATTGTTGAGGATACTCAGTAGCATTGAAATGGTCTGTAGGTCTCTTTGTTCTTCTGTTAATGTGAGCTCAGTTGGGCAGGCGAGGAAACGTAGACCCAATAAGCTAGAGACCAACTAAGCACAACTTTATCCCAGTCATCCCAATTAAGACCTTTCTAGGCATGCAGAATACATATTCCTATAATCCGAGAATGTCAATGTTAATTTTACCAGACGTCCAAGTGATTTTAGAAACTTTGTCTGTGAGGTTGAAAAGAAAGTCAAGACAATTATAGTAACAGGTAGCTTTCATTAACTGTCTACATTTTTGAATCAACATCCCAGAAAACATTCCTTAGTTTCTGTCATTGTGGACCTTGTGATTATGCAATTAATGGGAATAGAAAATCATCTAATAATAGGATAACTCTCCTCTTGTGAGAAGTTTTATATGTTCATTAGCCTGAAAGACACAGTATGCCTGCCTATGAAGCCAGAAATAAAGCAGTTATACTTAATAAAACTAATTTTTATTCATGAAAACGTATTGTCATAATAGATGATCTTAGTGTATAAGGAAAATGTAGTTTTATATTGTAGCATCGAGAGACAGATACATCTGGTCTGCACATGGGTTTGTCAGAAGACCTGTTGGGTTTCTGAAAGTCCAGTTGAGTTTCACAGGAGGAACTACCAGTGTGAAAGCTGAGTCATACCGAGTTCTACAGAGGTTAATAATGTTCATTTCTATTCTACCTTTACTGTGAAGAACTACACTGTATCTGTTTTCTTTGAGCTGGAAACGCCTTGAGAAGTGTTGGAGCCATGGGGACAATGAAAGTAATGTAACATTTGTTACCCTTTGAAATGTATCTGGGGAATAACTAACATGAAAAAGTGATTGTAATCGGTAAAACTAAAAAGAATAGTGGAATTAGCAAGAGGGAATAATATCCAGCAACCGATTTAAATATAGGAATAGGAGTTTTAGAGATTTCGGATGTCGGTTTTCAAAGTAAAACATTCTTTGACCATTGGATTAGTGATGAGAGGAAGTGACGCCAGTTAGAGGCAACTCCTGTGTTCATTGCAGGACTCTCTTCGAAAGCAGCTATGTTAAGCAACAATCTAAACAATTTTTTCTGTAGAGACCGTATGAGAATATTTGAAGCTAATTTGTATTTTTATTCTTTATATATATTTTATATAATATTTTATATATATTTATATTTTATTCTTTATATTAAGATTATCTTAAGATATTAAAATATAAACAATTTGTCACCGAACAAGAGCGACTTTAGACACCAAACATATATGCTTACTTTAACTATAATTATATATGTAAATGGAATAAAGTTCCTTTCATAAAAGTGGTATTGTAACCATTAAAATTCATGAGTTTTAGAGCCTCAAATAATCAACACTGTAGTATAACAAGAGAATTAATAATCCAAAAGGTTTTCATGGAAAGCCATCAGCTACTATTAAAACACATCACATAAACATACGAACATAGAATTTTTTTTTTATTTTTGCAGTGAGAAATTAACTGTTACTCAGATGTAAACACATGCCCAAAGCATGTCATATCAGAGAACCTGGCTTTTCTTTGAAGTGGACTGACTCTCACTTTTGCTAGGGTGGTTATACCAACTCACTTTTCTACTTGTTCCTAACACAATATTCACAGACCCCTTGACCTTGACTTCAGCCTTTCCCAGAGCTGCAAAGGATGTCTGTTACTCTCCCTCTCCTTGCTTTAAAACAGCATCCAAATTCTTCTTTTTCTCCACAAGCCTGCCAAGATGGGTGAAAGCAAAGCTAACTACAATGCCTAGTCAGGTGTTTTATTATAAGCCTTACCCAAAATTCACCCCAATCTTTTAAACCTACTTTGGAGATGTTTCATCTCAGTAGAGTATAATATATGGGCCGGTTTTAATTTTCTCCAAACTCTGCTTTTAATTGCGCTCTGTTAAATCTCTATTTTCCATCTCTTAATAATACCTTGAATAGACTGCATCACATTCCAGTCCTTTCAGTTATTAAAATTCAGACCTGCTAGAAACTTTAATCTCATATCCAGTTCATATCTCACTGCTTCCCCTTCCATCGTTAGGCAAGAGTCCCAGCTCTAGAGACCAGAGGTAAGAAGGGTTCAGCTTACTCTTTTGCTTCTGCAGCTCAAATTTTGTTCCTGTGCAGATGTGGGTTTAGGAAGGTATGTCTGCCCTGAGATACCGTGGAGATAGTATATGTGTTATTTTCTTGTGTATTGAACAGGTTTCCTTGGCCTGTTAAGAAAGGGGTAGCAGGTCTGTTGATCTGTGCTTCCTATCCATTTTTTCTTTGGGGTGTCACCACTATTGGCTAGGAGCTGCATGAGTAGCATGACATGTGCCTTTGTTCATCCTCTATGCTCTTCCATGGAGAACCCTGGAGTCTTCTACTAAAGTCCTCTTCTGTGTCCTGTTAGTACTGTGATGACAGTGTATCACCATCCTCATCTCAGCCTGCAGCAAACACCTCACTGTTTTCCAGCAACCCACCCCCAGCTTTAGAAAACTTCAGAAGAGAAAACAGGCACTACTATATCTTTAGTTATGTAATACATCACCAAGCTGTACACTGTCTAGTTCTCCTAAGACCTTTCTTACCATACTACTGATGGAGGAGGAGTCCTTAGGATTTTAGCTCAACAAACAACCAGTTGAGGAACAACATTCAAGTTTTTGCTTTATTCTGGCTTCTCTAGCTTTTATGAATTCTGCCTTTTGGGTAAGGGAGGGAAGAACACTAAGAATCAAACCCCCCTGTAAAGCTGTTAACCCAATCTTCTCTCTCCTCAGGTCCCCCACCAAACATCAGCTCATATATATTGTGGGAATGGAAAGATGGGGTGGGGAGAACGAGAGACAGCGGTGAGAGACATTCACGAGCATTGATTGACATAGGGCCAGATCAGCTTGGTTTTAATAAGCAGAATATGGTTGGTGGTGTGGATGTTGTCTAGTACCAATTGCTGGTGTCTTTCTTTAGAACACTGAAGAGTTTTTGTTGTTGTTGGCTTGTTTACCTACTTGTTTTCTGTTTTTGTAATCTGTTCGTGTATGTTTTAAGTAGGTAGTGATAAGCTCACAGCTCTAATGGGTTGAGGTAACAGCAGGAAGACCAGTTGGAGTAACAACTGAAATAGCCTTGTCAAAGAACTAGTGGTTATCTGAATTAACCTTTATTCAGTGGTATTGAGAATAATGTGGAGGGGATATATATTTTAAACCCCAAAGGATGCTGTTTCCTTTTCCTTGGGTTCAGACATAATGATTTTAACTCATATAAAGTGCCATAACAACTGATGTCACTAGTTAATATAAGCCATGGCTATGGAATGTTTTCTTAAGCTAGGCTCCCTGGTAAATATTTTCCAAGGATTATCTTATTAAATTTGTATTACAACATTTTGTGTTATGTGTTAATATCTCCATTTGACAAAGAAGAAAGCTGGGTCACAGAGTCCAAAATCTATGGTCTTTAAACAATTATATTTGCTGCTTCAAGTACAGGAGACTTTATGTTAAACTTTGGAGACATTATCCCTCTCCAGACATTTGTTAACTCGTAACCAGCTAATGAAATTATGACAATAATTCTGATTAATTGACATTAATACAAATACCCTGTGTGCTTTGCAATAATGAAAGGAGTAGCAGGATTCATAATGACAGCTGTATACTTCAGACTCTGAATTTTCTATTTCATGCCTCTTGACATGGATATATGTTAATTCAAGTACTTCTTTTTGAACACCTAGATTTAATGAGGGACATTATTCTTTCCTACTCATGGTTGACTTTGTTTACCTACCATATGTGTTTTCATTTGAAATAACCTTTTGCATATAATTGTTCACACTTGTTTTCATTTGAAGTAACCTTGTGTATATAATTGTTCACACCATTATTTTGCATACAATTGTTCACACTTGGGTAATACTATGATAAGTAAATCCAGAATTTTTATTAAAGAGTGCAGATGAGTACAATTATCTTAAAAGACAAGCAAAATGGCATGCCTTAAAGAAAACTGTTTATTTCTTAACCATTATTTTATATCCCTGGAGATCCTTATCATAGAATAAAAAAAAACCTTCTTGTAAAAAAATCACCTTACTGTATACTTTTAGAAGCAGTTAAAATATTCTAAAAATCATCATAGATATTTTTTATTTTTTATGGAGAAAATCAACTGAATCTAGATCATGTATATAAATAATACAAATTAGCATGTGCCACAGATACCATTTACGTTATTTTTTAAATATTAAATTTATATTTTTATTTATGTATTTTAAATCTTCCTTGAGCTTCAAATTCACATCAGCCAGCTGCTTGTTTACTATGAAAGTAAATATACAGAAATTTACAGACACTGTAAACTGAGTCCAAAACAGAACTCATCAGTAGTTGTCTGCCTTGTCTCTAGACTTCCTTATTATTTGGTGTTGGTGAATGACACCATTTCATCTATTTCTCAACCCAGAAACATGAGAGCTCTCCTTAGCTTCTCTTCCACCCTCTTCCCCATACATCTATTCATTCACTAGCTTTTCATTCCACCTTCTAAT